TCATTCTTACCCAAAAATAAATATATTTTAGTCACATTAAAAACTACCTCGCTTCCTCAAAGAGAATTATTTTGACACTTAAAACGCAGATAAACAATACATAAAATCATCCTCGCTGCGAAAGCGGGTCTACAAGCGCACGTCGTAAACCGCAAAGTCGTGTATTGCCTGACCGTCCTCGCAAATCTGACCATTCCTCGCTGCTTCGTTGGCGGCCGTGATAGATACTCCCATATAAAGGCATTATGCGGTGTTTTTGAAATTAAAAAAAAAGTATTTCTAATAAAAATATTGAAAAGTGGTTTTGTCGATTTAATAGCAGTATGGTGTAGACAACAAAAAAAAATAATTTTTGACATTTTTTGGAAAATTCACTCCCCCTCTGCACAGCACCATTTTCATACGACCAGTTGATTATGCATTGTTAAGGTATAAGAAATGATAAAAAGTGGTTATTACATTCTAGCAAGAAAATGCAAAGGAAAATCCAGTTTAATAGAATTTTGGGAGCATATTCTCGTAACTCTACTAGCGCAAAAGGCATTTCTACTACTACAAGAAGGCATGTCAGGGGTGCCTTGTTGAGAAACATTTAATTGTTAAATCCACATGGCGATATCTTCACTACCAACCGGGATATAGAGCGTTTTTAAATTTTCGGCCTTTAGAAAATTGCCCAAACATTTTTATTTATGAAAATTTTGGATCCAGATAAAAACATTTTTAGGACATTTTAAGGCAAATGCAGTGGAGTACTCAGATTTTTTTAACACTTCTTCGTTTTGTCGTTAATGAATACAACAACTTTTTTTTTATGTATTAGTGCATTGTGTCGCTGTCAGTTAATTTTGTGTTCTGCCACATATAATCTTAATGGAAAAACTCAACGCAGAGGTAGTGAAGGAACTTTATTTTAATAATAAATATCCGGGGCAGCAACAACCAGACAAGGAGCCAAGGCAAAATCAGAACGACTGAAATGAGAAAGAGAAAATCCGGGAATTGAATATAATTGGAGAAGTATTGCAAAATCCAAGCATTAATTCTTGAAAAGAGTATTAAATGACGTGTTTGGACAATGTTGGATTGGAACTTGTGGTCTGCGAAATTGTGTGATGCTAACTCCTCTAGATTTTTTTATGAGGGATATTTAAAGACCTTATATTAAAGAATTTTCTAAATCAAATCACAATTAGAGGAAGCCATTCGGGAAGCAATTGCTTCCATCAACCTTATAGAGTTGGTGAATACTACTTATTGCGTTCTGTTTATTAAAATAACTATAATTTATCAATAATAAATAAAATTCCAATAAAAATATTAAATGGTTCATAGGTTTCGTCTTTTTCACTTAACTCATTTCAAATTGTCCTTATCTTATGTTTATGTTAAGTTCCAGGGTTTATTAAATAAAGCAAACAACTCAGACTCTTTTAATCAACTCCACTAAACATTTTGCAAACTCTGCAACAATCTTGAAAAAATTCATAAAGCGACAAATTCAGTCATATGTAGAAAAAATTCTTGTGGGCTTTCAGTCGTCAAGTGACAAGTAAATTGCTGTGAGTGTTTAAAGCAAACTAACTTTAACAGAGTTCAGCGATTGCAGAACTATTGCCTAAGACTAACATAAGGTATCCGAACATCTTACACGATATTTACACTCTGCGACCTTATTTTTCATATTTAAAAAAAAACATATTACAAAGTATTTGCAGCAAAGACTGCATTTTAGCATAGATGCATATACGTCAAACCGTCGTATTCAAAAGATCCTCCTCTTGAATAATTGTAAAAATGGTTCATAAATTTCCGGCTAAAATACTACAATGAAAAAATGAATTTACCTTTAAACAAAATTATTTAATTATTCAATAAAAGAGCAGTAATATATTTAATTAAACTTTAGTATAAATTAATAACTGAAAATGAACCAATACAAATAAACAATGCCTGAAAATAACCTTTATCAGCATTTACCTATTTAATTGATCTCGCGAATTCTACGATATTTCAAGCTCTGTATTTTACGTTTTCCTTTTAATTCATTTATTTTCTTGACGTTAAGCAACTTGTTCTGTCTCCATTTACTTTGTATTTCTTTTTCTTTTTTTATCTTACTTTTATTTAACTTTACGAATGATTTTTTTGTTTACGTTGGGTGGTATTCATTCACTTTAGGAAGTGCTTTGGGTTTCGGGATATAGTTTAATTATTATTATTTTGTGCGTATATACATGCCTTGACAACTGTATACTCCGTCTTGTTCTCCCTCCTTTATTCCCGGGAAACCTTTCCTTCTTTTATATATACATTTTTTGTTACTCCATTTTTACCTGCCTCCGGCACTTCGCGAGCGGCCGTGCCGGAATCGAGAATTGCGCGTTGCGAGTCGGAAATTTGAACACCTGTTTTGAAAAGCAGTGTGCAACACCCTCAAGAGTCGAACCCTCCGGTAGAATCGTGCAGCGCATTCCCTTCAACCCAGCACATCCTCCACGAGGAAATTTGGGGTAAGTCAGGGCATGATTACGGTCATTTTACTTCGGATTCGGGGAACCAGAGTGATCTTGGAATTACAGATTGGTACCAACAAATTTATACACAAATTTGTTGCGTAACCGAACACAAACTACAACTTTTGTGTATAAATAAACTTGTCCAGGCGAACAAGCGGAAGAAAATTTGTAAAATTAAATTTATTTGTTTTCTATAATAAAAGTCCTTTATTATTATTAAAGACAGAAAATGATTAAGTGGCAAGGTGTGCTTTATAGTTACATTATATATTCTGGAAGTCACGATGACCAAAGAGTTTCTGTTATATATAAATTTCGCTGAATATATGAAACATATTCATAAAAAATTAAATCCGTTGCACGTCATGAATGCCTCCGGGTGCGTTGAAACGTAATTTTTTGGTGGCCGCATCGTCACTTGCAAGGGGCTCATTTTTTGATGATCTGCATATTTTTTAAAAAGATGTAAACTTTTGCTTCATGAAAACACTACATAACAGTAATAATTATTGCTGCACTGAAGTGCACTGAATGTGTTGTAGCCAAAAAGTGACAAATCTTGTATAACATATGGAATTGTTTCGGATTTATTTAATTTTTTCATAACTGAAAAGAACTTACTTATATTAAATAGCAGCCGCTAGTAAGCTAAATAAAAGGTTTGAGTATCTTCAAAATGTTTTTTTTTTGAAAGAGGCATAAACTTCTATAAATTGATGTCAAGATAAAAGTTGTGAAAAGAAATTTTACAAAATTTAGAATCTAGATACAAACTTCCTTTTAAATAATGCGATCAAAAATATTGATATTCATTTGATTGCATCAACGTAAACAAAACGCAAACAAACATTTCAAACTGAAATTGTTTTTATATATATTTTTGCCTCTTATCATGAATTCGGAGGCTAGGGGATATTTTAAATGCCTAACAATTCAGACACATTTTTTAAAAAATATTTTATAATAGTTCCATACCTAAAAAATTCATTTGAACTCCCTGTATATTATTAAAAACCTTACAAAAATTACGGAACTACAAAAACTTCATTAAAATGGCTGGATTACATTTGTGTTTTTGATTTGACTTTTATCAAAAACTCCAAAGTGTCGCTGTCCGTTACGGACATAAATTTTATCCTTTATTGAATTTTGTGTTCTGGCACACATAATTTTAATGGAAAAACTCAACGCAGAGACAGTGAAAGAACTTTATTTTAATAAATATCCGGGGCAGCAACAACCAGACAAGGAGCCAAGGCAAAATCAGAACGACTTAAATGAGGAAGAGAAAATCCGGGAATTGAATATAATTGGAGAAGTATTGCAAAATCCAAGCATTAATTCTTGAAAAGAGTATTAAATGAAGTGTTTGGGCAATGTTGGATTGGAACTTGTGGTCTGCGAAATTGTGTGATGCTAACTCCTCTAGATTTTTTTTTTATGAGGGATATTTAAAGGCCTTATATTAAAAAATTTTCTAAATCAAATCACAATTAGAGGAAGCCACTCGGGAAGCAATTGCTTCCATCAACCTTATAGAGTTGTTGAATATTACTTATTGCGTTCTGTTTATTAAAATAACTATAATTTATCAATAATAAATAAAATCCCAATAAAAATATTAAACGGTTCATAGGTTTCGTCCGAAAATAATACAAAAAAAGGGAAATTCTGGAAATGGTTGAGATCCAAAAAAATAAGAACTCTATAAATTCGAAAACAGACACCAACAATCTCAGTAATGCATATTGCAACATTCTGAAGTAAAACAACGATGAAAGATACAACATAAGAATATATTAATATAAAATTATAATATATAAAAATAATTTAAAATAAATAAAAGAAAAAAAATCATAAATTAACAAAAACACTCTGTATATCCTCTGAACCTTGCACCAAAACTTAACTTAACTTTGTGTGTATTATATGTGTGAGTGCCGTATACAAATAATTTTTTGTTGGACTTTTATTTTTTATCAAGGGTATGACTTTTTTATTCTCATAGTTGGAAGAAACTAAAACATTTTTCTAGACACTATGACAAAACCAAACGCTTTTAAAGTATACAACTTAAATATGATGCTACCTCTTCAATTTTGAGATTTCTGTTTGTCTCTTTTTGGTAAGGTTCTTTGTAATTCCGTTTATGTATATATATAAAAAAAAGACCTGTACTATAACATAATTTTAGACTGTATATATATATATATATATATATATATATATATATATATATATATATATATATATATATATATATATATATATATATATATATATATATATATATATATATATTTTTTTCGGTCAGTCAAAAATTACTACGACACGGCCACACTAAGTAGTAATTTTTGACTGACCGAAAATCAAAAGTGGCGTCCTGGAGTGTTTCGTAGTGTATGACATGAAAGACATTCGACACGACTCGGTGTTATTCAACCTTGGCTAAGAAATCAAGTACGGCTTAGAAAGTTGACTAAACCCGAATCGCTCAGTACAAACTTGGCTGTGCCGTGAACAGTTTTAACGTGGGGAGAATTTTAAAATGACAGTAATCGTAAAATAACAAAATAAAAATGCTTAAATATCAGGTGACTAAGGTGTCAATATGATAATTTGTTTATTTGCTTTCTTGCTCATCAACACCGGTAAGTCACTAGTTGTTTCTGCGACTGATTAGCTAGCTAAACTTAGTCATTCCATTTCTACGAAGAGTCGTTTGTTTCGGTCTTTTTTATAATAAACTAGTTGTCAATAATCATTTTTCTGTTGAAATTGTTAGGTAATGGAAATTTATTTATTATCTATTAATGTCAATTTAACACGTGGGAGAATGAAACTACTTACTTTTTCGTACAAATTGGTTTTGTTGCACTTTTTTGGGGTCATTTAAAAATATCAAAATACAACGGAAAGCCGTCCTAATTTAATTTCTGGCTTTCAAAATTTCAAATATAACTAAATACTAGTCTCCATGAACTCAAATATCGTATTTGGGTAATTTTATTTTATAAAACGAGAGCCGACGAAAGAAATGTTCTCGGTCTTATTAGCACAAGGTATTTTAATTGAAAGCTTGAAATCTTATTACGTTCACACACAAGTGAAACAAAGTTAAAATTACCTGTTTGTTTAATATTAATAAAACAAATTTGCGGTAATTGATATTCGTTCAACTTATTGTTTTAGGGCACAAAGTTGGTTATAAATCAGAATACATTTTATTCAAGTACATTTCAGTACATTTCTCTGTCTAATCTCTTCTCTGCCCTCCAATCATTGTGACCTTTCTGGAGACTTTCACAATATAGGTCGGTATAGGTATAATAAACCATTAACTGTCAAATTTTCTAAGGCCAATAGCCAAATAACCAAATTTTTGCAGAAACTTGCTTTTATTTCGTATTCCTTACTATTTAGGTATAAGGAGATGATGTATGTATTTATAATTTGAAGAGATTTTTCACTTTCTTTCCAATTAGTTTATAGAATGTTGGGTGTTCCTTTTGAAAAGAAAACGAAATTTCATTTCATTTTCAGCGCCTCAGTTTACTCCAGAGTAAATTTGTCTATATAAAACTATTGAATAACATTATGAAGAAAACATAGGAAACACAATTTTTCGAAAAGCGTTAAGGATAGGGATAGGGAGGTATTTTATATAAATAATTTAAAATGTGAATAGAAAATCAGATTCGGTTGTGCAATTTAAAACATAAAAAATTGATGCTACTTTTTCGGCAACGTGGCATCTCTGAAAATGAACCTGCCATCCATCCGTGAATCACCCTTTATGTTAAATTTAATATTTAGCTATAATTCCAAAGTCGATTCAGAATATCAGGGGGTTGAAATAATCCTTACTAATTAAAGGAGTTTGCCAAGACGATGAAGGGCCCTATAAAGGAAAATTTCTTGGAAAATTAAATTCCTATCACCACCAAGTATCCGGTGAAGTGTACGCTGTCGACAAGTACACTCTATTGCTAACGTCGTTCAATTATGACGGAAATGGCGCTGATACTTTCTTTTGGGCTGGAGCAAGTAACAGACCCGGACCACAAGGCTTTATAGTACCCGACGAGCACGGCCGGTAAGTGTTACGTTCGATAAATGTCCTAAATGTCACGGTGTTTTAAAACAAATACGTAAAACATAATTGCTTGTTTAAAATTAAGGGAAGTTTGTTATTACAAGGTCAAAGGTCAACCATTAAGCAGAGATCGCGCTGCAAATATAACTTATAAAAACGCTCTTTATGCATATTTTTTCCCATTTGAAATTTATGGAGGGAATTGAACTAAACTACTCCTATTCTTAACTAAATTGAAGAAAACTTACTCCCGAACATGGGAAAAAACAAATTTCGATAGACCTGTTTATTAGAAACTTTTTAGTCTGCTGCAATTTTTTCATAAAACTTATAGTTTCCAAATAAAAAAAAAGTAAAGCGATGCATGTGCATGCTTTATATTATAAAAATAATTTGATTTGACGCTATTAAACACTTGTATTTTGTACCAACATTTATCAATTATCTTCTAAATAATTGCATTTAAAAAATAATTTATAAAACTAATTGATTATTCTTCTTTGAAAACATTAAAACACAACAAATAAGCGAGACACCTAAAGCAAAACAAATATTCATTTTTTTTTTAATAAACGTTGATATTATATGACATGATATAAAGCTCACCTCTTCCATACAAACGATTTAAAAAAGTTCGCACATTTAAGCTGAAATGTGCTGCTGAACCTTACATTCATATAACGCATGTCTTCTAGCTAGGAAAACGGCAAACTGTTATTAAATGCGGATTATCTTCAGTTCATACATACAAAATATACAACTAACAATAACTAGCAAATAAATACTCCTAACAAATAAGGTATTCAATTTAAATATCGTTTCTGTGCTTTAGGACAAATGTTTTGGATAGATATTTCAACAAAGATTTTACACTACTGCTACCGGAAAAGAAAAAAATTACCGATTTAAAATGGTTCGCAATTTACGATATTTGGTCGCAAAATACCTTCGGTGATATATACATTCCGGAAGAATTCGAACCCCCGACAGTTCAAAAGTTGACTCAATTGGCTGGCAAATCCAATGCGATTACGACGATCGGCGTAGAGATCCTGGACGCTAAACGTATTAAGCTGATAGGCTTTACGTATGATGGAAAAGCAAAAAGAGCTTACTTCTGGGTCGGAGTAGGAGCACAGCCTGTTTCCAAAGGTTTCAAAGTTCCAGATGAATATGGATAGTGAGTAACATAATGACACAATAAGATGAACGAAGAATTTTTCACCGGCTCATATAATCAATAAAATATCACATTGAGCTGGGGAATATGTGATTAATAAACTGTTGTTTTTAGTTTGGATCCATTGAAGGCGTACAAAAATAAAACGCTCATATTGGAACTCCCTGGGGATCTTACCATTTTTAACGTCGACTGGTTTAGCATTTTCGATCACGAAACAAACCAAAATCTTGGCTCCATTATAATTCCCGAAGCCCTTAACGTACCCCCGTCGCTAATAAAAGTGATTGTATGTTGTTTTAATCTAAATTATTATTTAAAATAAATAACAAACTAACCAAAACTAACAAACTGTATAATATGCAGTTTCGCTCCTTAAGCCTGCATCATACGCGAAGATTTTTTCTTAATGCTTATATTATTACTAATGTGCTACTAATATATAAGGAATGTGGTTTATGAACAATGGATATTTTTAAACGATTATTTTAGCCTCATAAGGGCGACCTACCAAATTGTCTCCAACTCCATAAAAATTATCAAGTGGCATGGGAAATATTTGGACCACAAATAACCATTCAATTGGCTGGTATGGTTGACGAAGATGAGTACTTGTCGTTTGGAATTTCTGGTTCTTCAGAGCAAAGTCAAATGCTCGGAGCAGATATCGCAGTGGCTTATATCCACGGGTATCAAGGATTCGCAACAGATTACAATATAACAGCGTTAACTCCCGTAAGTTGAAAATTGTATAATAATGCTACGAAAATATCAAAGAATATAATTGAATCCATTTATCAAAGAAACGCGACTTTCAGATCATGTATATGTATATTTATAGTGTGTTAAAGTCCTCGGTCAATACAAGGGGGTGTGTAAAGACGAAATGGTAGGAGGACAAGATAGTAACCAAATAAACACAGCAGTTAGGGAAAATGGAATAAACACAATCACATACCGAAGGCATTTAATTTCACGTGAGTGCATTGAACATCAATATAATGGGTAGGTCGGTGCTCTCTGTAAACCAAAGGGATAACCATAGCGAGAAAGAAAACCCACGAAAAAGAATCATTCACTACCGAGTTTTCAATAAAATGGTTACAGATCACAGACAAATTACTTGGATAATTCACAAACGCACTAAATTTGCATGAATGTTAAACACTTTATGTATTGCGTCAGTCATTTATTCGTTATTGAAAACAGATAATGGATAATTCATTCTGCTGGTTTTTTTAACCATAGCAATTATGTTTGTGCAATTTCAAAACGCTAAAAGATGAAATGAAAGGTTTCAAACGTTTCAAACCCTATTCCCAATATGGTCAAGGAAATACTGTACTAAATATATTGACAGAATTTTTCCCACATTTGATTAAAAAAATTGTTATCACAATAGTTTTCCACTTACGGCAGCCCTCATATTTGAAAAGATATGCCAAATACAAAAGAAAAAATTGCATGCGATGCTATAAATTCAATCAAAAACTTAATGCACTAAATTAGAGAATATAATTTATCAAAAAATATGCAACTGTACGTAACTTTGCATATCCACCTTGCTTTCTAAACTAATCTAAACTACCCCAAAAAATATTGGAGTAGAGCCAAGACATTATTAAACTGAGTATTCATAACGCATATTCGAAGAACATTTTAGAGGCCAAGAAACATATTTTTTTATTAACTGATGTTTTATAATTTCGATATTTTTTGAACTGCCAGTACAGGTGTGGTGCTCGCAGGATAACTATCCTGTCAGAATTAAACTAAATTACAGTGGTATACCAAGACTGTTTATTATGCGACAGTAAAAAATAACAATTTCAAGGAAGCGACTTTGATTTTCTAATAGAATCTGTGGGATGTGATAACAGCATCCATTCTTGTCACATGCTGACAATTTTTTATTTAGAGAATAACATTAGCTTCTATAATTACTTATAAATTCGAGTTTTTCATGTATATTTATGTATAGCAAAATAAATACTTGAATCAAAATAAAATTATTTGTAGTTGTAGTGTTTTCAGGGAACTGTTTGTATATATGATTATATTTAAATGTAGCTGACAATGGTGATAAAGAGTATCCCACAGAAGGGTCGATCTATATAGTGTGGGCAATTGGCAAGCTAGATGAAAACAGGGAACCTGCCTTCCATGATACATACCCTAAAACCAATATTAGTATTGAATTAAATGCTAAAGAACCACACAGAACTTGTTTTCCATTCACAAGATCGGAGCCAGAAGTAGGAGAAGCCTGGGCTAAAGGGCAAATTTTTGACAAATCGATAAGGGTGTTTAAGTCCTACATTGGACCATCAGGGAGCAAGAAAGGTTACCAAGCTATTACAGGTTAGTAGAAATTTTTATGATGAAAAATATTTCATTGATGATAAGTGTTTCCTAATGGAACTGTAAAAATTAATGATACTTTTGCGGCTTAGATGTGAAGCAGCCAGGGAAAAATAATTTATTTAAGAAACCGTGTTTTTACCTATATGTACATGGCTTTGAAATAAAGAATGCTAATGCTAAAAAATATTTATAATGAACTTAGAGAAATGCTTAATTTGGCATCAAATGAAAAAGTCACGAAATGGATTTTATATCGATCAGGTAAATTTAGATATATAGAAAATGAGAAATCCGGTGTTAATAGTTCTATAGTATCGCAATATTTTCATACCATATTTTATGGTATGGTAATTTTTCTATAGAATCAAAATATTCCCATATTAATAAGGATTACTCATTACAGTACCGTCTTCACTTCCCGCGTGAATCGTGAATTTATGTATGATACAAGCTAGAACAGTATATTTGTGCTCATGAACCAACGACGCGCCTAATAAGTGGGCCTTACCTACCTATATTTATTTATTTGAAATTCAACAGGTATAATTACTATTGCGGGTGTTCCCCGGTACTTTGATCTATTGTTAAAACTGTTACTAGCAATAATTGTAGTAGAAGCTAACCTTAATATGTAACAAACTTACAAAATAAATTATCCAAAACAAAACTCAGAAAATAAAGACAAAAATAACATTGCTACTAATATTTTATGCTTTACTCCGTTTTTTATATCAATTGCCGGATATTTATTTAAATTATGCTTTCCTACAAAGAATGTAATGTTTTTATTTACAAGGACAGCTTGAAGTTTTCGAGTGTGTCATGATTTTGTATTGGTTTCTGGTCCCGATGATTTTGGGTCTTAATTTTAACCTTAGTTAATGGGTTGTAAATCACTAATTCTTTATCCGCAATATGCAAGTAAAAATTTATAACTAAGGGCCAATTTCCGTAACATTTTTCGGTATATGTGTATCCCATTATTTGTGTATCTATTTAGAGTTCATTTTATTATCTCTTTGTGTAAACCGACTAAATTTGAGAGGTTTTTTAATAATTTTTCGGTATAACTAAGTTTACAATTTCTTCGTATTTTCTGCTTCCGCAAAATAACAACAATAAGCAAATAAAATTATTGTGGGTGTTGTCTACCTATTTTTTTTATTTCGGAGTTATAAAGTCTATTTGTGAGTACAATTTGTTAATTATTTGGTTGATTTGGTTTGGTAGATTCAAATTTTCATTTGTGTCATCCAAAATACGACCATTATTTTGTTGATTTTAGTTTCCGATTTTTATTTTCGCCCATAGTCCTAACAGAAAAGAAGTTATACTTAATCCTCTGCACAATTGTTATGCAAAACAGGATTCATTCGAAATTAATTGCAGCTAAGTTTCTTACATAAATGACCACAGATATATTAATATTTGATGCTTGGGAGTATTAGAAAAACTCCAAAAACGAGAGAAAAAAAAAGTTTAATATTTAAAGAGCATTACAAAATCCAGTATTAATGTGTATGTTATACATACTAATAGAAATAACGTGAAACATAAGTGCACAATAATTATTTCAAAAAAATGTAGGTCATACATCTACTGCCCTGGCCTGGTACATCAACGGTCTTTTGGCCCCTGAAATATGGTTAAGAAGGGGGTTGACATACGTTTTTAAAGTATACGGGGGTAATAATCCCCACAGCGCCGAATACTATCACCCTATGATCATCACTGACGACCCACATGGAGGTTATGATAAATTAACGGACGAGGCTCAGTCCAAAATTCGAGTTCTTGCCGGAGTAGAATATTCCAGAAGAGGTCGGCCGCGTCCCACCGCAGGTACTCTTTTCTTATGGGTTATTCACACAATAATTTCTAATGAAAATTGCAGCTGGACCACTATGCTTGTCAAAACACGCTGAAGGACGTGATAGAAGATTGGACGACGATTTCGAATCGTTTAAAAAGTTCAATCGCACTTTAGTTTTCCATTGCGAATCTGGGGATCCGGGCATACTGGAATTTACGCCGAATACTACGTGGCCGGATGTCGTCTATTACAATTCATTCACACAGGCAAACATGGGATGGAAAATTCGTGTCATTGACAGTTTCAATCAGCGTTCAACTGCTACAATTCCCAGAATTTCAACTTTATATTTTTTTGTGTTATTTTTTGTTGATCAATTAAGATAATTATTTAAACAACAGCTGACCACATGCAAAAAAATTATATGTAATAATAGTAATGTTATCGTTTATTTTGCATTAGTACGCAAAGTTAAACAAAACAACAGAAACAAAAATGTGCCGACAGCAAACTTGCGGATAGGCAACAAAGAAACTGGGGATAATTATAGTCCTATCTAATGGGATCAGTCAACAACTACAAAACTTTTGGAACTCGGGTTATCTTAACTATTTTTTAATTAACAATTATTTTCCAGAAAGTTTATAAAAAAGATTTTAAATCTTGGCTTGTATTTCAGTTTGATAGTTTATTAACCACACTATTTGAAAGATACACTTCGGGTTCTACCAGTGCAGTAGGTGACAACGGCAAAATGACAAATCTTACCGGCGCTCGAGAAGTACATATATTATTAAGTAATTAATTTAAGGTAGGTGTCTTATTAAGAATGGCTCCCATCGCTATCTTAAGTGCTTTTAATAAATAGTTTAATTAATTGACCTAATTTTAGAAAACAATTTGCTTGAAGTACAATTTATTTTGACACTCTTAATTTATTTTAATTTCGCGGTATGTTTTGAGGCCTATACGCAAGTGCAAAGTGTAAGTTGTGGTTTCCGTTTTTTGGATTCAAAAAGTGTAGAATGTTGAGGTAAAAATAACACCTCTCTCCTGATTTTTCTCATTACTCTTTCGGATCTTTCGATAGTCTTTTATTTAGTATTCCAATTTCCCAAGGTAGTTAAAAGCCTTTTTCTCCGCTGACAGAGCAAAGCGCGTCAAACAAAAAAAAACAAATTTGAATTTGCAAAATTTTGGAAAAATACCATTTTATTATTGTTTTGCAAAAATGTACCCAAAAAGTAATGGACGTAGAAAAAGTATAGTATGCGACACGTTGATAAACTTCTTCACCCATTTGTTTATTGGGTCATCACTCCTGTAGTGTCAAAACAGTCAGGAACCTTGGGATTTTATGATCCTTGATTCTGAATAGTTGCTTAAAAAGGCGGGTTTTAAACTTAAAATCTTTTACATACAAAGTTGTTGATCAGCCTGGAAAATTTTGTACTATCACGAATGTGGAAAATTTCAAATGAATAGTCTTTGTCCAAGAACCAGGAATATAATGGCGATTAATAATACGCGCGACCAGTGGCTGCAAGTGGGCAAAAAATTTGCGAGGTTTCAGAGAATGAAGCTGAGATATTAAAACTAAATGTTGTTTCAGGGGTGGGCTATTATTAAGGGTAAATAGCATTGCAATCTCTCTAAAACTGGGGCAATGAATATTAGATGCTGCTCGTGAATGCAGAATCAGGACCAAGGTTTGATGGCGAAAACGGATCACTACATAGAAGAAAATTGAGGCATATACCTCTCGATTTTGTGAGACCTTTGAAATACATACAGCGAGATTAGTTTCGAGGCCAGTTGTTGGAATAAATTAACTGTGACACCTCGTTTGCTAATTTGAATTAATTGCGAAACGCGAGGTATTTTAGACCAATAGGAGTGATAGAATTTTCGAGGCTCCTATGCGTAGAATGTTATCGTACAAGGTTAAGGCTTATTATCGTGCTCTTTGAGAAGAGCTTCTGAGCTCGCCAGCAGGCGGTACAATTACCAAGTTTGAACCGGATTACACTTTACTGGATAGGAAGCCACTGACAAGACGAAAGACTGCAAGGAATGCGTGAACGCAGATGTAAATGTATCCTTTGTGCACCGTTCTCAGCAACTGGGCCCTACACCAACTGACCACCAAGATCTTGGGACCTTACTCCTCTAGACTTTTTTCTACGGAGTTGTGTCAAATCTTTGATATACACTCGCAATCCCCAAAGTAGCGATGACTTAAAAGCAATTCAGGAAAAAACTATTGAAAATTGGATTCATAGTCTACACGTCTGCCGCCGCAACCAAGGTGGCCATCTTACTGACGACTTATTCAAAACATTATGTTATATAGTTGGCTAAAAATGCAAAAAATATATTGGTTTTGTAAATAGACTAAAATTACAAGAGACAACGGAAAACAATTTGGTAGCGAAGAAATTAAAAACTTCTGCTAAGAAAATGGTATTTTTATTCATGAAACTATACCATATTGACCCCAAATCAACGGCGAAGTCAAACGTCACAATATTTTGTAGTTGGTAGTGTCAATTTACTGTCGAGCTTTGTTTTTAAGGTAGCCATATTTTTTTTCTACTCGCGTCTGTAAAATACCTAATTACCTACCGATCTAGCGTGCGGGAATCGTCACTTTACCACGTCAGTTTTATTTCCCACGGATCCGAGCCACTTCGGACATTTCCGGGGTTTTACCGCACGATTTTCGGAGCAATCGGATGATTTCGGAGATATTTCCCACCCCTTCAATTTGACGTTTGTCAATTCTGACGGCCATGTCAGTGAATATATTCGTGTTGTTAGGCGAAAATGTACCCAAAAACTAACGGTCGTAGAAAAAGTATAGTATGCAACATGTTCGGTAAACTTTTTAACTCACTCGTCTATGAAACACTCGCTCCGCTCGTGTCAAATAAACTCGTGAGTCAAATGTCAAATATACTATTTGTATGACTTATAATCAAATCGTCATAAACGTACAAAGAAGACTATTAATTGTCCACTTCTAAACTATTATAAAGGTGCGAAATAATAACATATTATTTCCCAAAACCACGCTTTAATAAATAGATTTATATTTTCGGTTCCTGTAACTCAACGGAAAAATGTCGGTTTTAAAAAACCAAAACCCCTTTTCTTGCAGCTAACGAATTGATACGCGCTCATATACTTTCTTTTATAAATACAAAACATATTATCGTTTACATTTGAATATTTTTAACTTACTAGTAGTGCCTAGTCACGTAATATCTAACAATTATGTAATTTCATATAAGTAATCTATTAGAATTGTAACAAATACATTATATTCAATTTTGATCATCTCGTGTAATAACATGGGCAACTTTTTTTCTTAAAAATCATTTATCAAGTTAAATTTTGAGATGATTTTCTGAAACTTTGAAAACTCGTTTATCCGATCACTTTGTTCGTGAATAATTGATAATGCGTCCATATAGACTAGATATATCTTTCGATCAAAATACACCCAAGGATATTATCGATTACATTTTGAAATATCGACGAAAAAATTCATAGTGACCATATGTTTTGGATTGTTTCCGGTATTACGAAATCCTGATGCCAAATTAATTAAGGTCTGTGGGTCTTTGTCGTCAATGGTTACTTTATTTAATTTTCAATGGTGTATAACGAATTGCCTTTTTTGTTTTTTGGGAACCACCCATACAGGCGCATATCAAGGACTAACGAGATTTTTGTCAAGCATATTGAAAATTTGACATTAAACTTCTCCTTGACGATTTCATTTAGAAAATATCGAAACATTCGCGACATTTTTTCACAGCAAAAAAGAAAATACACACATGGTTATCATCGCTCCAACTAATTGTTACATAGGGCCACTATTCCCCCTATGAACACGAGAGTGCTTTAAGAACAACAGTCGCAAATATATTTCTTCGGTATGCGCACATCCCTATAATTCCCCACACACTAAATATATCCTTGTCGTTGTCTTCTATTGAACTTATTTCCTTGTAGGTGGTCCTATTCATTTTTCTCCTAAATAACTTCACTCTCTTATGAAATTAATAGTTTCCCATAATAATAAATTCAGGTTGGTTTCCTTACTTAAAACTGTTATTCGATGTTGCTTTCTTTCACCTCACGGAGAACAATTTAGGGGAAGGGAAGCTATTTCATAAAACACAATAGCCAATTATCGCCCGCACTTTTGGTTTCTTTATTAAAACAATACGATTATAACAAAAAAGAAAAGAAATTAATTAATAAAAACAAATTTATTACCAAACTTAAACGGAATATATTGCAATCAGAAATAACGTGACCCACCCTGCCAGAAGCGAAATTTTATTATAGTAAACGTTTATATATACAAATGTGCGCTGATCCTCTATCAATTCATAATTTTGTTATATATTTTCCAAGTTGTTTAGAAACATAATTTATTGTTTTTCATAATTGTTGGGGTTAGTATGGCAAGCGTTTTTAATGGTATCGTTTTAAAATCAAATTGAATCTTCTAGATAATGAATATCATATAATAACTAAATTTATCAATAACATCTTAAGAAAGTTCAAATTACGCACAAGGTAAACGTTAGATAGATAGGTGTAGGAAATTAGCATCACTACTTGCTAATTTTCAAGGGTTTATGCCGGGTGTTGGGTCCAAATCGGATAAAAGAGAATCAAATAACCGAAGTTAGCCAAATGATCGGAACATGTCTGTTGCATATATGTCACGTTAATTTCGATAAATACGCCTCAAAAATCTATTTTGGTTACGTATTTGGTACATGGTACATGATTGACACAAAACTTACTAACAATACTGGTTATGTGTCTATTGCTATGACTCGGGTTGTTTTGTTTACATTCGATTTCAATTAATTAATAACAAGAAGCAAAAATCTTAGATGCTTACTAAATTCTGCGATAAACAAGATATGCTAGTCCCATAACTGCACATTTTAAAATTTACCCCATGTAATTTTCTAATGTATCCATTCCAAATATCGCTTAAAGTTGTCCGAAATTTCCTATTTTCTATACATTGTCATAACACATTGTACCACAAAACATGAACAGTGATAGTGTATTCAATAACAAATCTATTAAATAAGAATATGCAATATACTACATTACAAGATTAAGAAATGGTGAGCAACAAACTTTTGCGAACTTTTGGAACAGTTAGTTTTGATTAGTTTAAATCTGTCGAACGAATACAATTAAAAAATATACAATCCAATTAATTCTTAGTTAATAAAAGCAGAGCAAGCGATTTTAAGAAGGCAGTGAGGCAGTGAAGAGTAGCGATACTTGTGGAACGAATCATCAGTAACCGCCATCTAGAGAGCATTGTAGCAAACTTCCGCGCATGCCTGGTCGACATCGATCGATATATAAAAAAAATACTTCTTAAAGTTGGTTATTGTTTAAGTTATTTTTTGTTTGCAAATAAAAGTTTGTGGATACGACAATAAAAGTGTGAATTTGTGACTCAGTCAGAGTGGAATTATCAACTACTTTGTAGAACTATTTCCTTACAACCTAGAAGAATTGGAATTTTTAGTAGCTATTGTAGCAAAGAAAATCGCAACGATTATTTTTTCTATTTTTCCTTCGATATGAAGTCTTTTGTTTTTTTTTTCTTTTACTTCGAATTTACGACAACAAAATTACCCCTAATGCATAAGAAAAATTTGTAAAAAGCGAAACTTTTCAGGATGGAAATGCCAATTTTCTGTATATGAAATTAGCATTACCAAGGTGTTTTTTAAGAAACGCGGCGCAAACATTTTTTTTCTTTTAGACAACTTCACGTCAAAAAACAGTAATTATTGCATACCATTACAAATTTGCAAGTTGTAATGCTAACTTCCTAAACGTGACCTTTTCCCAGTTTGTACAGCAAAATTATTATAAAATTTCACCTTTGAATTTTCAATTTGCTTCATAATTACGATATAATAAAAATTGATTAGCGGTAGGAAAAATAGTATTTTTAACAAGAGGTAATCAGTTTATAGTAATACTTTAAGAAAAATACTTCTAGCACGTCAATATTACGAGTTATGAAGGTTTACAAAATTTTCCAAAGTTTTGGGAATTTGGTTCTTATAAGCAATTTTACGTTTCGTGATAATCTGGGCACATAGGCATTTCAAATTTATATAATCCAAAACATGAATGTCTGAACGATCTTCTAGTTCTTGAATTGTATCAAATGGACTTCGACCAGCAAAATTTGGTTGATCAATGTGAGCTCCATAACTCAGCAAAAGTTTCGCTAACTGAAATTTGCCGCATTGAATTAGGATAAAAAAAATAATATGTTAAGCAGATAACTTACTGAATTAGAATAATTATAAGGAATTGTTGCGACATGTAATGGTGTCCAGCCTAGTTCATTTTTGGCATTAACAGACGATCCACATTCCAACAACATTTTTACAACATTCTCCTCGGGAAATATCATCTAAGATACGAAAATATCAAATATTAGTTCCATTAATCGGGAATAAATTGAAGCGGTGCATTAACAAAGAAGTTTTTAGAACATTTAGCTAGATATATAAACTTTGAATATAGTTCAATTCCATTCACTTAACTTTCCTATTACCTAGAAGTTTGTTTTGTGATTCTTTCTACAATTGGAAAACCATTAAAGCGTCTACGCATTCTTATAACATGCCTATAATACGGACGGTTACCCTATTATATATCCTAACATCGGACAAAAAGAAGGACGAGAATTATAATTTAATTTTAGATGAAAATGTGGTATAAAATTTTTTGGAATGTCGCTTCGTTTTCGAAATACACGGTGTTGAAAAACTTACATTTGTTAGGTTAAATATCATTTTAAAATTTAAGATATAATGTAATACTTACAATCGGTTCTTCCGTAATAAAATAGCTCGATCTAATTGTATTCAGTCTGGAAACGCATAAATGCAATAAGGTATCATCCACCATGATACATTTGATATTTTGTTTTACTATATCAGTTACCAATTCTGTAATCAATGCCGCATCTTCCTCGCGCGACACGGTTTTTATCATTAAATATATCAAATGAGTGATGCACTTGGGAATTTTGTCGAAATACTCAAGTTGTCGTTTATACTGTGGTTTGATTGTCAATAACTGCCGCATTTCTTTAAAATTGAATAAAATAATATTTTAATATTTCTGTACTGGAACCAATGAAATGGTTTTCATAAAAATGTTATAAATTCATAATCATCAATCACATTTTTTGGAAAGCAATGAAACAATGAATTGAAAAAGATGAGCGATAATACCCTTAAATAGCAATAATAAATATAATGTTAATACCTGAAATATTTTTAGTCAATAGCTTGTAGGCCCACACACTGTAATGGAACCTTTGTTTGGTATTATTTAGCGTGTTCAGTTCCGATTTTATATTAAGGTCAATCATCATTCTTACTACTGCCTGAGCAGTGAACGAAGTATCAGTATATAGAATTGTATCTTTATCAATTCTGATTTCTAGAGCACGCAGCCACAATTCAATACATCGTTGATATCTCATTGTATCAGCATATGAAGCTCCTCTAAACATTAATCTAAAAAATAGCTTAAAAGCATATCAGACAATATTGTCTCAATTTGAATTTCTTACAAAAATAAGAAATAAATTAATTTATACACATACCTAAAGATTGTATCTTTATGATAGGTTCCTAAAATTCTTTCAGCCATCAATAAACTTTGAATTTTTAATAAATCTAAATCGACTGATAACAATTCCAGTTCTTCCATTGTTTGAAATTCAGTTTGATACCTGTATGCTTCATGTGGAGGAATTACTGGCTGCTTGGGAAATAAACCTAAAATTTTGTAAAATTTCCGCTACAAAATTGGTCATCAAACGTTCATTAAATAAGTACAAATGAAACAAAGTAAAAAAACAAAAGCCTCAACATTACAATAATGAACATACCAACAAACCAAACAGCAAACAGAATGAAGTTTTAACTCCGACAAAAATCGCTGAAAACAACATTTCTATGCACAAAAAGTGCCAAAAATCCGAATTTACTACGTGAATCAAAGTTTCAACAAATCAGAGCTGGTTTTGCAAAATTTTGTTGTTTATTATTTTTTAATTTCAGCCATCTCCTATAACAATTGCCTGCTCCAATTACTCGTTTTTTTCGAAAATTTGATTTTTTTACATTCCCCGTTTACTTAAAACCGCATTTAATAAGATGTTTTATTTCTCCAACAGCCGTTTGTAAACGCGTTTGTAGCTCTGTCCAAATTAGAGGGTCCCCTTTGCAAGTTTTCCTTTCAAAAACACCTTCTGTCCACAATCTGAAGCTTTTTCTACTTTACTGACTTCCAATAAAATGAAATGTAAACAATAATTCCAATTTTGAGAAGTTAACACTTTAGCACAATACTAAATACAAAATTGTTAAAAAGTTCTGCAGCGTCATATTAAAATACCAGCTTAGAAATTGAGTCTAACAGATCAACAAGATTTGCCTTTGGACCTCTGTACTATCATGTACAGCAAACATTCCTAGGCATGAAAAAAGAATATTATAATTCTTAAATGCGTTTTACTTACCAACAAATCAGACAATCAATACTTAATAAAAAGTGCATTCCAAGCCAAATCAAAATTCTTTGCCGCGAGGGAGTGCCCCTTAAAATAATTTTCGATGTATTATATACTGCCCCTACACTTACCATGATTTTGCCTGATGATTAGTGCTTCTTTCCAATGAAATATTGCTACACTAATATCATTGTGCTCGTCAAGGAAAGTTGTGCCAATCAATTCATGGGCATTTGCTAATCTTTCGGGGGAATAACTGAAGTGTAATGTAAGAAAATCGAATATACGATTGGCACCTTTGAGACAGGCCATTTGTAAAGCATCATCTCCATAAGTTGATTTTGCATTATAATCAGCTCCATATTTTAATAAGAGCTTTGTTGTTTCCAATCTAAAAAAATATATCTGACCTCATTTTAACAAAAATAATGCAATGTACAATTTAGTACTCTAGTTCACAAAGTGCGATATTTTATTTCGCGTCTAATAGATAATTTATGGCGAACGTTTCGGAAATATTTCTGTAATAAAGATTTAATAAATAAATAAAATAATTATTTTTTTTGAAAATCGCTAAAGATATATGGAGGCATTAAACAAAAATAATCAGAAATTGATAGCGGAGCGGCAAATACAATCAAATACTGGCTCTATGAAATCCGTGAAATCTGTGAAATCTTTGTTATCTGTGAAATACAAAAAATCTTCGTAAACCCATACCATGTTTCTAAAATTTTGAGTTTTGATCACTTTGCATTAGTTAAATCGGCTTTAAATAATCAATTAATCATCAAAAATACAATATGTGACTAAATAACTATTTTCTTGTTATCTGTAGATTGCGTCTATGGTGTGACGTTTGATTGCACCTTAACCAATGTTGTCTAATAGAAAAAGTGCCAAGTAAGTAATAGTACATATTATAAAATTAAACGACCTTTATTGGTGAAGTCTCAATTGGATTTTTTGGAGTATTCACTCAACTAATGATTCACGGATCACTTAGAATTTTTACACTATAATTTTTTGTCAATAGAAAATTAAGCATTACCGAAAGTCCTAATTACCCTTTGCAACAATACAAGGTTTTAAATGTGTATTTTTACTGTGACGGAATGTAGATAGTCCAGATATATCAAAAATTTTAGGAAATTTTTCACCTTGATTGATTTGATCAAAACTTTCAGATAATTATATTTTTAGAGTTCCTTTAACTTTTAGAAAAAATCCCATTCCACAATATATGAAAATTATATTTGCTTACCTATGTTCTTGAATTGCGTAATGCAAAGCAGTCTTGTTTTGAACATCTTTTGCATTTACATCAGCACCATGTTGCAACAAAAATTCAGAGAGAACTGCACTTTGGACAGAGTTAATCAAGCAAGTTCCACCATTGTAGTTGGACAAATTGATCTTTGCACCACACTCAACCAAATATTTAACAATTTCAAAATGAGTCATAAAACATGCAGACCTTACAGGGGTTGAACCACTATCTGATACTGCATTAACATCTGCTCCATTTTTTAAGAGTACTTGAACTACACTAAGTTTGCCTGAAACTGCTGCACACCAGAGAGGTGTAACGACATGGGTAGACCTAGAAAATAATGAATAATAAAACAATCACATCACACAAACATTCAATGACTGACCTATCTTCTTGAACTTCATAAATACCCTTTTGCTCTACATCAGCACCACAAACAGATATCAAATACTCAACAATTTCAACTTGACCTTTTTTGCATGCAATGAACAAGGGAGAACATCCCACTTTTACTCGATTGACAATTTCCTGTCGAACTTCTGGCGATAGTTTTTCTAATCTGTTTCTAAGCTGAAATGATAATCTTGCACCTGGACTGCAACGTTTACACTCATCTATTAGTTCGTGAAATATTGAGTCTTTTTCTCCAACAGAATCAATTTTACTAATTTTCCACATACTAAACGATCGTGAAAACGAAACTTGTATGTTTTATATATTCCGCTTTTAACTGTTTAGCTAAATTATTGTTGCATTGCAGTTGTTTTCAGCATGAACTTACAAATTGTTGAATAATTTTGACATTATCTAAAAAGTAAACACGACCTTGGTATTCTGTGATTGCCTTTGACCATAACGTGAAAGCACAGAATATCTTCTTCTTTGCCTTTCCTTAACGTGGGCACGTCAACCAAGGACATTCGCCCAAACACAGAATTAACATACAACTCTATTCTGTGATGTTCGAACAATCAAAGACTTTGCCTTACCCTTCCATTCCCATCAGTCCCAAGAACTACTACCTGGCGACGTCACTCCAAATCCCAGGTTCCAAATCGCATATCAAACGCCCCCAACTCAACTTCTAATGCGTAACGTATTGTTCTTTTCTTGTTCCCATAGTACTAAGATTTAATAGATTTTTAATTAAATAGATGGATGTTAAAAGAAGATATATTTACAGACTTCATTTTGTTACCAGTTTTTATAACATCCAAAGTATTATTTGTACGTTTAACTAAAAAATGAACAATTTCCTGGGCAATCTTTGATTCTTGTCATTGCTTTCGATAAGATATCTACCAAATTTTATTCTATAAATTATTTTGAAAGTAAAATAATTTAAAAATCTATGTGCCTGTAAAATACCTCCGGGATTTTACCGCACGGGTTTGAGAGAAAACTAAAAATTAAGAAGAAAAAGAAACGGTCGTAGAAAAAGTATAGTATGCAACACGTTCAGTAATTTTTTCAAGTCACTCGCTCTGCTGACTTAAAAAGTTTACGGAACGTGTTGCATACTATACTTTTACAACGACCGTTAGTTTTTGGGTACATTTTCCCTACCAACACGAATACATTCACTGACATGACCGTCAGAATTGACAAACGTCAAAATTCAAAGCGTGGGAAATATCTCCAAACACATCCGATTGCTCCCAAATCCGTGCGGTAATATCTCGGAAATGTTCGAAGTGACTCGGAGTCGTGGGAAACGAAACCAACGTGATAAAGTGACGCTTCCCGCACGCTAGCTCGGTGTGTTATTAGGTATTTTACAGACGGGAGTCGAAAAATATAGTTTTAGCTGTTTATATTAAAAAACTAAAAAATCAAACAGGCTTCAGACATTGTTAATTGATTGTTCTCGTTCTTGAATCGAAGGTTTTTTATTTTGGGACATTCTTCATTGAAGGTTATTTTCGTATCAAATTGATCGCCATAACGGCATGTACTAGTCCTATTAAGTATTTTATTAACTAACAACGGCATATATTTTATTATGTAGATAGACCACACATACTCTAGATGTATTTAAAAATTCCCTTGGTCATGTTTATAACCAATTGCTTATAGAACTGTTTAAAATAAATGGAGCCGATTCGATTTTAAAATTGGCAGTTCTCTTATGAATAAAAACATGCATCCTTCCCAAGGTGATTTTCGGACGTCGAGCTGCAATTTTCTCAGAGCATGCTCCGTAATCAATGCACGCTTTTACAATCAGAAGCATAAATCAATAATAATCTCATATCTTTGTGTTACTTAGTCACGATCGATTTTTTCAGTCGACAATTTTTGTCAAACCTGTTTTTTTTTTAATTACAGTAGCGTAGTCTTAAAAAAATTTGCGTCTATTTTAATGCAAAACATTTCATGATAGGACATTTGTTATAATCCTACTATAACAATTGAAGTGCTTGGTTTTTCAAATAAAAATCAATGGTTCGATGTCTCTCCCGTTCCAATGAAAATCCATTTATTACGATTCCGCGTGATTTAAAGTGACCAATTTTATAAATATAGTCAAGCACAAGTTTGTAGACTATTGAGATAAACTTCTTGGTGTTATTCGGTGGTGGATAACAACTATTTGGTAAATATGAAACAAACTATGATGCATAGCGGAGATGATACTTTTGAATTATGAGTTTGCTTGTAACAAGACAAAAAGGTAACGTGTATCTAGGCTCTTTGTTTACTTGACTTTTTTGCTACATTTATGGTAAAGCATCTCCGCTGCACTGCGAGCAATATTAAAATTCTGAAACATTTCACAACAACCTTATAATTACTGAAATGAAGCCGGTGGTTATAAAGGATTGCGTGTTGTGGCGCCAAATTAGGGTTTACCTGCACTTTGCCGGAAGCCATTTTGAATATAAGCATTCTTCTCTAATATCTTTTAAATCGTTATGCCCTTGTGAGGATCAGATTTGTATCCAGTTACTCATGCGTAAACGGCCAACCCGATATAGTTTCACGATCGGCGGTAACAGGAGACTCGAAATTTGTCCGCTTCCAACTAGCAGACGTACATATGACTTACAGTTTTCAGCAGCATTGTTCTAAATAAAATTGTTGTTTTTCGCATATATGTTTATGTTCATAATTAAAAGAGGTCGATGAATACAAAATACAAATTTTGCACGCAGTTATGAAGCTGAATTTATATTTTTACACTTTGTATGTACATCGGTGGCATCTGATTTGCAGTGAAAAGTGTAAATACAGTTTTAGACAGTGTTAATTGATTCTTCTCGTTCTTGAATCAGAGGTTTAGCCCTGGAGCGTCAAAATGGAAGTTTTCTTCGGGTTTCCAATATTTTAGAACATTCTTCTGCAAGGGCTATAATATCCCACTACACACTCACTAAACGAGTCGAGGACATTTTGAATTTTCGCAGTAAGGGAATTCTTTTGCTGGTTTTTGTAATCCGTAAGATACCGGGATGCAAATCAATTAACTTTTAATATTATTTGATCGATGTAATAATACGATAAATAGTCGTAAACAATAAAAACTATAGACGTGGCTTTGTACACTGCCCAAGATGGACGGAAGATGAATCATTCAAAGATAATAAAATGCAGCTTTCCGTGGCGAATGAGTAAAGCTATCCTACATTTAAAAAACATTGTAGGCAAATTTGGGGTCTTATCGTCATTGTTAAATTAATTTTTATGACCCCGTATATGGAGGTAATGTACTGTTATTACTAAATGATAGAGAGGTCATGCTACTACGATTTTTTTAAAGTATTGTTTAAGATAAAAATTATTTGCAAGATGCGAAGAAATAGTATAACCGAATCGTCAGAAAAGTAATTTTATTTGATGCGTTAAAGTCCATATACCTTACCAGTCTCTTCTTCTATTATAAAAAATGCATTTTTCTAAAATTTTATTATTGCTGTTTGTTACTAAGCATAGTGCAATATCGATTGCTTTTTAAAATATAAGAGTCGAATGAGGTTCATAAAAGTAGGGAGCAGTACCAAAACAAACTATTTTTGGTAGAAGTGAGCAAAGTGTCATTTATTACGGGTATAACCGGTGAAGTGAAGAAAAGACATTGCGGACAACTAAAAAACTTGCCAAAATGAACAACCCGGCCAGTTTGCTCACTCTTTTATCAATTTTACTAACAATTGTTGAAAACAGATATTCCTACACCTGAGCAAAGAATATTTTTAATGCTGTCGGAAATTCACCGCAAGAGCGAAGTGGAAAAAATTGCTAATAAACAAATTCTTTCTATAATGTAATATAACTACTTGCTGGCAGGCGAACAACTCGAATGGCTCACATCAGAGTTTATATTATTATAAAATTAAAAAGGTAACCAACGTTCGTGTTACTGACCACAAGTAACTGTTCATTTTCGGCGGCAACTCATTCATTTTGTGCTTTGTGCACTATATTGCTGTTTCGGAAAGTTGCAAGATTATACATAAAAATGTTGATCCCACTAATACTACGTGAAAAGTGACACAAGCAAGCGCAAGTCACTGATACGACAAATTGGGCAAAATTTTAACAAAAAAAAAATCTCAAATATTTGTTTACCTTCATGACTCGTCCTGTATAGGTACGTCAAAAGTAATTCTTTTAAACTTTTGTAAGGAACTAACCAAAACTATTTGTCAATTGTCAAATTGCTCAAAAATATTTTCATTTTTACATTTACTCTTTCTCTATTCTTTTAAATTTCTATATTTTGCATTGTTTATAGTTTTTAGTGAGTTCTATAACTATCTCAATGCATAGTTATTTTCAACATATTTTCGGAAACAAGCAATAGAAAAGCAAAAGTTGCTAAATGTATTTCCGGTGGAAATGCACCTTTATATTTACTTAGTGGATCTAATTACACTACAACCAATTTTATTTGCCCATTTTGTCATTTCTCCAAAGAATAAATCGTATTTGGCGCAACAGCGGCCATTTTTTTTTTTCAAAATTCAATCACATTTTACAATAAAGATTTACATTATTTGAAAAAGAGAAAATATCCTACATTTATTTACAAGAAGAGTTTATAAAATTTTTAGTTATAGACCATATAATCAGACTGAATGTATGGGGCTTAACCTGTATGTCTGCACCGTGTCAAATCAAGAAGGGAAAGGAAAACCGAAACTAACCAATTATAATAAATAAATGAAAATAGCATATTATGCAGGAAGTTTGACAAATACCTTTTCAGTCATTATTTTGATTTGGCAACAGTGGAGCGAGGGTATGAAGATTTTTATGAACGTGTTTCATAATACACTATTTTATTTATTTATGAAATTGTTTTATGAAGACAAGTCCACTTTGTAATGCGCGTTCAAAATATGTGATTATGCCGGTGGGAACAAATATAATTAAAATTTAATTTAAACAAAAACAACAACCTATATTTTATTAAATACTCTGCAAAACCATTAAAATCCTCAACAAATGGTATACCATATTCCTATAACTTGATACTAAGGATCCTGAAATAAAAGCAAGTTTGTGTAAAAATTGATATATTTGCATTAAGTTCATAATGGAAGGACATGTTTAGACTGCAGTCTTGATGAATTAGTTTATTTTGTAGGGACAATGTGTATTATGCAACAAGCGTGGTAAACGGCATTTGAGTCACGAGTTTATTTGGCACAAGCGGAGCGATGACTTGCAAACGTGTTGCATACTATACTTTTTCTATGTTTTTGGGTACACTTTTGCAAAACAACGGGAATACATTCACTGATATGACCGTCAGAATTCATAAAGGTCAAAAAGTCGTGCGGCAATATCTACGAAAACATCCGATTGCTCCCAAATTCGTGTGGTAATATCCCGGAAATTTCCGAAGGTGCTCGGATCTGTGGAAAACGAAACTGACGTGATAAAATGACAATTTCCGCACGTTAGATCGGTGTATAATTAGGTATTTTACAGAAAGCAGTAGAAAGAACGTGCAGAAAGAAAGAAGGAAATGTATTAGAAATATAGATTTAGAAGCAATGAACGGAGAAGAAGTTTGAACGATTACAAAATGATTTAATTTTTTTGTGGATCAAAGTTGAAAGCGAAGCGAGAATTACTGAAATCTGTATATTCTAGTGAAGACAACGTAATAAATATTCTAAGCATATTTTAATGCTTATCCCCAGGCTTCCATCAGAAGTGCAGAAGAAGATTTACAGACTTAAGTTATGCGTCCATCCCAACAAACCTTCATAAATTGAAGCCCTGAGGATTATTAAAATAAAATTCAATTTATGACACGGCTCTGAGATCATAACTTTCTAAAGATTTGTTTTTGGTTTTTATAGTATTCTCTAATGTATTATTAGTATCTTATGCAACAAGTGTGACAAACGACAATTGAATCCGAGCGGAGCCAGTGCTTAATAAACAAGTGACTTAAAAAAAAGTTTACCAAACGTGTTACATACTATATTTTTTCCACGACAATTAGTTTTTGAAGTACATTTTTGCAAAACATCACGAATTCGTTCACTGACAGTACCATCAGAATTGACAAACGTCAAAATTCAAGCCGTGTCAGCGAAACTGACGTGGTAACACTTTCCTCACGCTAGATCGGTGTATAATTTTGTACTTTAAAGGGAATAGAAAAAATAATATTACGAAGCACACACTGCTGAACACAGGACAACAACTAAGGTGCTATTATTTGCACTAATTGCAAACGCAATGGAGGCAACCTTGAAAGAAAGGCGTATAGCGCCTATTGTAGATTTAGGTACCAAAGATCAATTAACTTTTTATATGCTAATTCAACCCACGCCCAAAATATAACCGTCCGACTAGGTATGTGTATGTACATAGAAGCTGGTTAATGGTGGGTAGGTACGGTTCTAGGTTACGTGACGTATCTAAGTTTGCAACCGGTGTTTTAGGGCTGCTAAAGGAACTTTTCGTTTTAGAAAAAACAACAGCAAAAACTACAGTAAAAACTTTTCACTATTATAACCTGAAAACACGCGGCACTTTTCTAAGTGGTCGTGCAGTCAGGATGGCTATGCTAATATGCTATGCTATTAATAGTGTATATAGGATGGCTCGTTTATTCTAGGAATCAACACCTTATTTCAGAAAAATGGATGCGCCTCGGGCGGCTATGATATTTTCACTCACTAACCTACACTTCGCGCCATTATCTTGCTAAACAGCGATATCCACACACTCAACTCCTTTATGCCTAAAGTTTTAAAGCATCCAAATTTATTGCCGACCTGTCAGCGGCCATGCTGGTTGTTGATCGAAAACTGGTCACTGGAACTTCTTAAAAAAAATCATAGTTCCTCTATTATCAGCATTTAGCCAGGGCCTCTAGTAGCTATATAACATCCTTTAAAAATTGTATATTGTTATGTACACAGGATGTACTTTTGTGGGCAACAACTTTATAACAATATAATATGTTATACGTATGTTTCAAAACACTTTTTGTGCTTTAGTTTTTTTTTTAAATATTTTTTAGAGATTTTAAGATAAGGAATCATACTATAATAAACGCACGACAATATTGCGGGGTATCTCCATAATCTTTAAATAAATACAATTAAATTTGTGCTCTGTAGTTTGTGGCAGTTCTAAGCAGTGTTAGTACAGAGCGTCTATCTTATCTTATTTCAATAAGTACGACACTGAGGAAAAAAAGTTAAATACAAAAAGTGTCCGAAGTATAAGTATATTTTATTTATAGCATAGCATATTGTTTTAAATGGAATGCTATGAATATTTTTTAAAATTCTAATTATTTCTTTTATTTTGAGTAATTTTTGTCATTGCATAGCATACGAAATTTTGAATAGCTTTGGAGAAAAATTAACTTGGTGAACTCTATGGTGAAAATATATTAAAAACTATTATAAAAAAATGTCTTTTCTGATTAAAAAAACTCATATTTTTAATAAAACACCCTGCATTTAGCACTTTTATTGGGTTTAGAATTTAATTCAAATATTCACATATAATTTCATATATATGTCTTTTATTACAAAAATTGGTAGTTTAGAAGTTATGGCCAATTTTCTGGAACAACTAAACCTATATAATATCCTATTCTAAGTTGTTTTTAAACATTAATTACTTAGATTCAATATAAAATCAACAAGTAATGCAAGAAATAGAACTTTTTACTAATTACAAAACATTTTCTACATAACTTACATCTTTGGCTGAATATATCGTTTCAATTTTCCCAACACTTTTCGACCCGCAGCTGTTGCATTCTCTTTCTACCTCTTGGCGAATTCTCATATTTAAGTCTTGGAACCTTGCAACTCCAACCTCCTAACTCGAAAACGTCTTCACGTTTAAACTTTGCCTGGAAAGCGAGCCTCGTAAGTAGTATTCGTTTTTTTTCCCACTTCTCCTGGAATTTTGTCAAACTCTACCAAAAGTGTCTAATATAAATCACACAGTATATCACGTTTAATTTCAGATATACAGAGTGTTTGAAAATATGCTCTGATAATTTCTATGGTAAATAAAAAACGAAAAAATAACGTTAGTTTGATAGATAAACAGGTCAAGATATCTAAATGAAATTTACAGTACAGATAGCTTTGATTTTGTCATGACAGTTACTGTAGACAAAATATTAATTATATTAATACATTAATTATAATTCTGAGTACCGTTTGTGTGTACTATTTTGCCCCCATACTTTTTCACCCAATTTCTGTATTTGTAGTCTAAATTTTATTTAGATATCTTCGATCGTTTGAGAAATAATTTAAAAGAAATGATTTTTTGGCGAGCCTTTTCGGATAGAAACTAAAATTACTTTTTAATATTCCATTTATTCTAGAAATTGGAAAAGCGTTTTTTAGAAAACACTCTGTATGTAGAATACTACAAAACAATAAATAATAAACCATCGATTCCGCAGCTTATTCAGATCTCAGGCGAAAAAGTTACAACCGATTTGAAGTTCTTCGTGGCTTCAGCATACAAGCGATTATACCTGGGATGTAATAAAATAAGGAATGTTCTCTTTTATCTCAATATATTTATACTTAGACTTCCGCAGTTAATATCCAGCCTTGTTTTCAAACTGGTCGGTTATAAACGATTCATCCTGCATAAATGAATGACTTTCGCGGCTTCCATATTCATTAACGTAGTTAAAATTCAACTTCCTTAATTATACGGATGAGAAAAATTGGTAATCGTTTGTTTTTGAGCTGATGGGTTTGACCGAAATTATACCTACTCATGGTTTTAGGTCCTCGGGTAAGATATACAACAGGTATATAATATAGGTTTTAAATTTAGATTTTGTTTTTATTTTTATTTTACTTCCAGGAAATAAATAAAATAATATAAGATTTGGATTCATTCAAGAAAGGGAGATTTAGATCAATATCGAAAACTGTTAATCTCCTATTTTAATAACACTTTGATTATATTGATGCGAATGCCTGAAGGTATTAAGTACAATTATCACTTATAAATATTTGACTGCCCTTTTTTGAGGACCTATATACTCTATATACTTTATTTTCTACAAGAATAATTTAAAGAGTGATTGTTCAGAGATATTTTCTCTTTAGACGGATTCACCATATACAATTATGGATTTGTAAAAAATATACCAACAGATATTAATATTTGAAAGTTGACGACAAGAGTATAATTTTCTGAAATAGAATATTTTTCTCCGAACAAAAAAATCGCAGATGTTAATGCATATGAGGCTTTGTCTGCAGGGTCGCTTGTCCTAAAAACAAAAGAAATCATACTTTCACCCAAACCGACTGACATGTCTTCGAGTTAAATCCCAAATATTATCGCCAGCCACGTCGACCTCATTCTGCCGAACAAATTTGTAAGTTACCGTTTTGCTTCTTAATGAAAGAAATTCAACACTTTGCTTAACAAGGAAAATGCAAAGATTAAACATATAGCTAGTCGTTATTACAGATATGTTGTAGGATTAAATATGCGGAATCTAATATTATAGCATCGCTTGCGATGCGGTCAAATTTAACCAAAAATTATTTCGTTCAATCCCAAACGAGACATAAAAAAGTGATACCATGGAGGATCGATTCACCTCAAATAAAAGTTTAATTTAACAACCACGATTTATTTCACTTTAGCTAAGAGCATTAAGTAATAGAAAAGTTGCTTCATCAGTCTCTACTGAGTTGTACCGATTTTTTTTTCGACAGTTGAAAAGTGAAATGTGCCATGCTAGTTTCAGAATTTAGAATGCGGGCTACCGTTTCTCTATTCATACAGCTTGTTGAAAAATTGACCGCGTTTTGGTTACATTGTAAACACTCGTCAAAGTTCACGTTATTCTCTCTTTACCCGTTTAATGAACATGATTTTTTCTTTGTTAACTAAATGTAGTTTTACATCGAATGTGAGCACTTTGGGGTTTGCTACGTTTTGGTTAGGGTTAGTGGTTAAGTGAAAAATTGTAGATTAGTTATTTTAAAGTGTAGCCTATAACTAATAAAAAAAGTAATAAGAGTAATAAAAGTATGTATGGAATAACAATGGTGTTGCTCATTAAGTTAACTTCTGTCTAGATAAGGTTTTACTCTGTAAAGCCGATCAAGCGTTAAATATGTCCCATTTGTGTGTAAGTATACCTTATTAGGGTAACATCTTGGTTAGAAATAAATTCTACTAACAATATATTTGTAACTTGAAATTTTGCTTTTCCTCAACAAAATTAATATCTCGAATTGCTAAATTTCATCCCATGTGCTGTGATTATGACGAAAACACAGAATTTTGCGCGGATAATATTTTTAATTATATATAATAATTTAATGGGCAACTATTTTGGTACTCTGTTAACTTCGTTTTCACGTAGTGATTAAATTAATTTTGAAGCATAAACATTGAAAATGTTAAGTGCCAGATTATAATCAAAATTCAACAAACGAACGGGTGATGTCCCGGAATAAGTGTTCATTCATTAACTTTATTTAAAAGCGAAGACTAGAAGATGAAGTATTTGACTAGTTGAAGCGTTTTAATAATAGACGAGTATCATTTATGGAACTAAAAGAAGGAAAAAAAAACTGGAAGAATCCAACAAAATACTATTTTTAAAAATGTTGCTAGTAAAGACTCTTTTCAGTGCTGAATATTTGAATTTAATTCTTCGTTTCGCCTGTCTTTGTCACACATACATAGTGCGCGGCTTCTTGAATTCTACTCGACTTTCTGTGGCGCGTAACACGCGTTGGGTTGAGATAACTGAATTAGCTACGAGGGAATATTGTTATTATCCAAACCTAATTTATATATCGATAGATTCAGTTTTTTAAAATTTAAAAAAGTATTAAATATTATTGTATCTACCATTCATCGCTAAAAAACTGAGGGTGAACTATTATTTAGGAACGGTCCCGGTTATACTCGTAAGTTCATCTCTTGTTTGAACGGAAGTTTCACGCACTTTTTCCTTTAATAATCCTCATAAAAAGTGTACAATGGTTTTAAATCTTGAGATAGTGGAAGCCACTCAACTGGTCCTTCAAAATTAATTCATCTTGCTGGGTAGTCATTTTCCGGACAGTTTCGCACTACCCTCTCAGAATGTACTGGTGGAGAATTTCTTGCAAGACGGTCACTCTTGGTGACTTAAACAACGTATTTTATTAACAAGCGGTGTGGCTCTCAGAAAATGTATGTACTATGTAAGGTGACTTTAGCATGCACCCAGTGGTAAGAAGGTTCTGTTCATTAACATGAACGTACTGAAAAATCAGTAGCACCTTTTAGATATTTTGACATATCACCTTGTGTACATTATTTCTCTACCTATTTTTTTTCATTTTCTACTATTTTTTAATTGATTTGTTAGAAAGAATAAGTTCTTATAAAAGTATAAATATAAAAAAAGTTGACAAAAAAACAACTATTAATACCTTAATACTACCTGGGGCGTATTATATTGCACAAGTGAAAACACACTCGGTTTACTTTATTTTCTTTCTTTTCAAAACGTTAATGTAAATAATTTAAATTTTTGTGCCCAACATTCTCAACGCTAGGAAATCTATCTCACATGTCATTCCGTCCAAGCAAATTTGGAAAATTAAAATATTTTATACGAAATTAAAACAATTTATGCATAAATTTGCATGATGCTTGCATTTGCCAGAGGTGGAAGAACCATATTTGGCGTGTAATGAACTTGGTTTATGCCTTCTTAAACTGATCGGTTGTGACAATCCCTGACGTTCTTATTCTATTAATTACACTTAATCAGAGTTGATATCCGGAGCGGAAACAAGTAATTTCGTCATCCAATTAAGTCTTAAGAAGACGACCATTACCACGTTGATTAACATCGTATCAAAAAACCATGTTCCCGCCGTTTTCGTAACTCTTCGCGCCATTGACAGAATATGTGGTGTGAGTAACCAACGACGAAGAGGGGGCAAACGCGTCGAACAACAGCGAAACAGTGGGATAGGCAGACAATGCGAGACTTGGCTGGTCATTGGTGCGGTCATACGAATTACCTCGCAACTCTTCAGTGTCTTCAGTATTCGATGTGCAGTGAATGACTAGTGGACTTCAAAGTTGAATGCCCTTACGGCGCGCGATAGTTACTTAAAACAAGGCTAATACTAAAACGATTATGGGTTCACAAAAGTAAATCCTTCTAAGGCGCCGTTTTAAACTTGTTATTTAATTTTATAATTTTAGGACGTGATTATGTTAATTTCCAGAAGAAACTAAACTATAATGGAGTGCTTTTGTTCCAAATCTGTGTCGGTCCATTGCAAAATTGTGTTCTTAGACGAGACGGAACTGGTGCACGAACTACAAAGTAACAGTACCGGACAGGCGCTGTTGGACATCGTCTTCCGGCATTTAAATTTGCTAGAGACGGCTTATTTTGGTTTGCGATTCTTGGATCAAAACGGTCAGACCCATTGGCTCGACCCGTCAAAAAAATTGAACAAGCAAATTAAAGGACCTGACCCATACACTTTGTATTTTGGGGTCAAATTTTATGCAGCTGACCCATGCAAACTTTTGGAAGAAATTACCAGATACCAGTTTTTTCTTCAAATCAAGCAAGATATTCTGCAAGGAAGGTTATTAGTACCGTTTGAATTGACAGCAGAACTAGGTGCTTACATTCTGCAGTCAGAATTAGGAGATTATGATCCCCGGCGACATGGATATGGATATGTTTCAGAATTTCGATTTTTACCCAACCAAAGTGTAGAACTGGAAATGAGAATTGCCGAACTACATCAAACGTTAGTTGGTCAGCTACCTTCCCAAGCAGAAATCAATTATCTGGATAAAGTGAAGTGGCTGGAAATGTATGGCGTTGATTTACATCCAGTTTTAGGGGAAGATCATGTGGAATATTTTTTGGGATTAACACCTAGTGGTATTGTCGTTTTAAGGAATAAAAATACAGTAGGGAATTATTATTGGCCTCGAATTACGAAGATATACTTCAAAGGAAGATATTTTATGTTAAGAGTGACTGACAAGAATAATGATGAGTGCACATATGGGTTTGAAACTCCATCCAAATCTGCATGCAAGCACTTGTGGAAATGTTGTGTTGAACATCATGCTTTCTTCAGACTAGTACAGGTGCCGCCCACAACACCAGATATATTCGCCCTTGGATCTAGATTTAGGTTGGTCTTAATTCTTATGTAATGAATTTTCCCGGAATTGCAGATTGTAAATTAACATTAAAACACATTTTTGACAGTTTTTAAACTACCAGTTCAAATATGCTTAATATCATTGCGTGTTTTTTTAGGTACAGTGGCAGAACAGAAAAGCAGGCAGTAAGAGATGCTCAAATGAGACTGCGTCAACCTCCAACATTTTCACGCAACCCTTCAAGGAGGTTTCAGAAAAGAACTTTGGGCAACAATGAAATTCATTTGGCTAATGAATCTGCTTATAAATCATACATTCCAAAACAGGAATTGAAACACATCTCACTACCATTGCCAGCTGACAACTGTGAAAGTTCCTATAATTCTGCAACATTGAAGAGTAACATGACTAATAACAAATATGATTCCCCTAGAAGCACGCGGAGTGCGCCTTGGTCGCAGCCTCACTCAAAAGGGCTATACAATTCATCTGTACCTCCTAGTCCTCGATCTGTCCGATCAGGTAGCCGCTATAGGTCTTCATCTGTAGATAGCCAAAGTTCCAATGATTCACGTTCTTGTAAAAAAAGACGACACAGAAGCAGAACGTCCGATAATGAGAGTGAATTATCCAAAAGTTCAAACAAATCGAAAAGAAAGCACCGGAGGAGAAAATCAAAAAGTAGACGCGATTCGGGTTCGGAATTTGAATCAAAATCTCTAGACAACCGAAAGTCTAGATCAAAGTCTGATAATTACTATGAACTGGTTGATTCGGAGTTGCAGTGGCAAGAAGTACAAATGAAAAACCAAAGCCGGGACAGTAATTCCAACTCCATCCAACAAGCTAATGTGGTGAGCAGCAGAAGTCGAGGACATGAAAAATCTAAACAACACTCTTCACCTGATTATGGCACAGGTAATCGACCCCGTAAACACAGGAAACATAGGTCAAGGTCGAGGTCACCCAGTGAATCAAAATCTTGGCTTACAGACGAACTAAAGAAGCATTTAGAATTTGATTTAGTGGACACTTCCGGAATGAGTGATTTACAACTAAGAGAAATTCCTTACACAGTGGTGAAAACTAATTATTCCACACATGTAAAACTGAAATCACCGAACTTAAACAAAAGCGACATCAATAATGTATCATCTTATTCATTTCAATTTCGAGATAAGAGTTTGCACGACCAGCCTTCCTTGGTGAATGAAGCAATGACTAATTTTTCCTTTCCAGATGATAATAATAGTGAAATTTTAAAAGTTTCTGATCATATGAAACATAATTTTTATAACGGTAGCCAATCTACTCATTCTAGTATTTATTCCAATCAAATTAATGGCCCTATGCAAGAAAATTTTTCGAATTTTCATAGAGTTCAACACGAACATTCCGATTCGGGGTTGGGAGTGGAACAAGACTGTGATATTAAAAGGCAACATAGATTGTAAATAATTTAATGAATAAAATTATGTTTTTGCAACTGTAATTATTATTATTAAATTTCATAAGTTGTATTCATTAGGGTGTCAAATTCAAACTAGTTACCTTTGTTTTATTTATATTAAGATTTTTTACATATTCACTTACACTCGATATTATTTATTGTTACCTTGTAATAATATATAAATAAACACATATTTATTGACCTGTTACTTATTTCACACGCGTTTAATGAATAAAAAAATCGGTAGATTCAACGATATATAAACCTCTACTGAAAATTTGTATTCCTTTATTGTCTCAACAAACATGGAATGCACGCTTATGACTCACAAGGAATATTTATTGCCTTTTTATTCGTATTCATACATACCTTTATCAACCACGAGTAAAATTTCAATGACAAGCGAACTTAACGCCTGCAATATAAAAAAAAAGGTTCGAACGGAAAAATTTGTAAGGCAACCAGAGAAACGTGTATTATATATCCATACAGATTACTATTTCGATAAAATTGCGCTACTTCAGAAGCCCGTTGGACGATGGCGCTCACTTTTAGTTCCCCTTCACTTTAAATACATTTATTTCGTTTGGTTGTATGTTGAATTGCCTATAATCCACGTAAAATGCTAAAATTTTTAAATACATCAGGTGAAAATATTTTTTTTATTTCCCATTTTACCATATCCAATTATACTCGATCAAGCCTGCGTAAAGTACCACTTTAAGACGCTCGCTTAGATTTTGGAAGCGGCTGACCTGACAGTAAATTTGACGAGATTCCAACCTGCTAAAGGCAGATGTCGGTGATTAATGAGTAACGATTTCACATCGGGTGCGAAGTTCATCGGCTAGCTAGACGTTAGTCAGATTTTAATTACGGATGGTATTTTGACATTTGTCAGTTCTGATAGTCACGTCACACGTGACTCAGTGCAGGTATTCGTGCTGGTTTGCAAAAATGTACTGTAGGAACGATGTAGTGTGCAACACGTTGATAAAATATTTTAGTCCCTTTACAACTAAGCACTTGCCTTGTTCCAAATCAAACACATGACTAAAGTGGCGTTTAACTAACTTGTTGCACCATTATTTCCGAACCACAGCACAAAAAACAATGTTCAGTCCCCGTGAAAAGCTTTTTTTTTCAATATTTAATTACTTTATCAAAAATCAACCGTTTGCAGTAGTGAGGGGATAATACGAGTATAGCGAATTTGGATGTTTGACAAGTTGACACTATAAAAACGTACAAAAATTAACCTCGTCGCTCATCGCCGGTAAGAAATCAAGTCAAGTGTAACTCGAGGGATGGCTTGATTATTTGAACCACTTGAGCGCCGAGTACTTAATTAAAACGATTTGATTATAATCGTAGAAACAGTATGATGTAGCCTATAAACTTTAATACTCGTGAGGATTTTTTTAAATTTAACTTAAATTTCTTCAATTTTATGCTTTATTATTAACTTTCATAGCTCATAAAAATGTTAGTAATCTTAATACTGAGTACATTACAAGTGTGGCATATATACTATTCTACTAAAATCATATTTAAATGGAGGGAATAAATAAAGCTGAATCCAAATAGTCAATCTCGCATGAAAAATCAGAACAATCGTGACGTATGCGTAATTGGAAATAAAGATCACGTTGGCAAGTTCTTCCGACGAATCCGATTAGAAAAAAACGAAGCCCTAGCCAATTTCCGGTGACCGCAAATCGGGATAGAAGTCCGTCTATTTCTAGGATTGACGTCCTTTTCTTGGGAAATTTATTAAGAGCGACGTGATTCGAGCGAGACCTCTGAGTGACGAAAGAGCGGAAAATTCGTTTAGGCAAAAAAGGAATAAAATTCTCTCAACACCTTGAAAATGTGTTTGCGAATAAACCGGTTCTAAAGTGATCCAAACTGGACGCGACTGAAACCGGAACACTCGAGTCAAGGATTGGAATTTTCAGAATTCACAAAATGGGAGTTGGCTTCCGCAATGTAGATTCTTACGATTTTTAGTCTTGTAATTACGGACTGCTCCTTCCTGAATAAATATATCAGTTGTTTTCTTGCGCTTACATTCGTTAGAATTTTCTTTAATTTTGTATTGTCTTAGTTGCATTCAGATTGCCAGAGTTCTGTTATTTGTTTCTTTATTGTCGCACTAAATTTTTTCCAGTCCAGTCCAATGTGGTATATTTAGTTTTCCTAGCCAATAGATTCGTGTCAATAGATCAACAGAGTGGATGCTAACCGTTGGGTGCAGGGTTAACGAATAAGAAGTTTCATTGCAGTAAAATGAACTGCTAACTTCGTCTTTGAAGAATTGCTCGTTTGAGTTATTTGTCAGTAATTCAGGTGCAGTTGGAGTTTTCTTGATGTTAATAGGGTAATTTCAGACTTATTTATTTAGAAGCGCACTATTATTCTTCTCGGTTGAAGATATCGAAGTTTTGGTGATTGAGTTGGACTGAGATGTTGAGATCATAGTTGAGTAGGAGCTGCTTTCTTCTGCATTTTAATAGGAGACTTCCAGTTTCACTACACAGGAAGGAAGACGGATAGATTCGCGGGTACTGCCATAGGCAATAATGCTGTAGTCTATTTTAGACAGGCTGTGAGGATTTCTGCCTTCATTCTACATACAGTTCAGATTGTAGTAGATTACACGTTGTCTTGTGCAGTGCAGGTTTTTGTCAGATTAGCTAGATATAAATATCTTATCGATGTACACATTTAATAGTTTTAAATATGGATCATCATGACAGCTTGTTACGAATTTCAGTGATCACTACGTTGAAGAGGACGACTCTTAAAGTAGAGCCTTGTAGTATGCCATTTTTTTAGACGTGTGCTCTGTGCTAACTTGTACGCAAAACTTGCGGGACTCCATGTTAAAGAAATGCGAATTAAATTGGAAAATGACAAGCACATGACACATCAAACTTTTTTTTATTGCGCAGTGAGTGAAGAAGCCAAATGTTTTTCTAAGGCAAAAAATGAGACCTGGATTTTGAAATCGTCCGATACATAAGTGCTGTCCAATTGCTCGGATGAAACCTGTCTGTGCGGACACCTCTACTAAGCGGACAAATTTTCTGCACTCAAACCTCTGCCTATTTCTTTAAATGTAGAAATCACTACTATAACCAGACGTGGACAATTTTTTCAAAAATCTGGAACCTCTGTCAAACGAATACGATAAGGGGACGTGACACAGCACTCTGCAGCCGGGAAATAAACCTCTCTAACAAAGGAATTAACTTGCTGTGATTTTAATTGCATTGATAGAGCGAAATATGAAATGGCGCCTGTAAAAACTTCTTAGCTTACGTCAATAAATGGAAGTCATTAACGTTTTGTAGAAGAAACATCTATCAGCACGAAAGCTTGCACGGAATTGGAACTCAGGAAAGAACACTGAACAAAAAGAACTGTCTTTTGATAAATGAGGGACTCCGATTTGACAAAGTGTGTTTTGACTGTTTTGCACGTGCTGGAAGGCAAAAAATTTCGATATCGGAAACTTTAGTGAAGACCAAAGTTCAGAAAATAGCAAAAAAATTAAAGCGCGTTCAACGGTTGGTTGGAAAAATTACGTTGGAGAAACGCGATAAGTTTTAAGTGTATCTCCATTATCCTGCTAGTCGATAAGTTGCAGATGAATGACAGATTTCTAGCTTTATGAGACTATAAAACGTGTAGTAAACCTAATGCAACCTATTTTTCCCAGGTTTTTAACAAAATTGTTCTTGACACCTCCGAGCGCCCCTATTATGAGTGGTATGAAACTACCCTTAAATTCATACTAAGAACATTTATTGAAAATATTAAGTCTCTGTATTTTGTAATTTTCTCTTCCTCCTTTTTGATTACTCTTCTGTATCTATCTTGAATTAGGTAGCCCGCTAAAACGAGAATGTTAGATTTTTTGAAATATTCTTTGTGTATATGTTGCATAGACTAAGTTTCTTTCCATGTGGGGTTAATTTTAGTTAGCGCACCAGAGTCTAAGTCAAGTTTTTTAGTTTTTCTTTTGGCTGTCTCTCTGAGATCTGCAGTTACAAAAATAACACTATATTCCGGGATATCATCCGTTCGCTTGTTGAACTTGTGAGATTTTGGCGAAACGTCTGCAGGATTCCAGTCGGAGTTCAACAAGCGAACGGATGATATCCCGGAATATAGTGTCCATCCGTGAATCAATACGTGAATACATATATATATATATATATATATATATATATATATATATATATATATATATATATATATATATATATATATATATATATATATATATATATATATATATATATGATGACACTATATTCCGGGATATCATCCGTTCGCTCGTTGAACTCCGGCTGGAATCCTGCATCCGACTGGAATCCTGCAAATCTTGCATCCGACTGGAATCCTGCAGACGTTTCGCCAAAATCTCATTTGGCATCTTCAATGCTCGCGCTCCGAAAACACTTCGAGTGTTCGAAGTGTTTTCGGAGCGCGAGCATTGAAGATGCCAAATGAGATTTTGGCGAAACGTCTGCAGGATTCCAGTCGGATGCAAGATTTGCAGGATTCCAGTCGGATGCAGGATTCCAGCCGGAGTTCAACGAGCGAACGGATGATATCCCGGAATATAGTGTCATCATATATATATATATATATATATATATATATATATATATATATATATATATATATATATATATATATATATATATATATACAGTGTGTCCAAGATAAGGATGCACAGCATGGGGATCTCGGAAACTATAAGAGATACAGTGTCGGTTAAATTAGACAAAAGTTGCGCATTTTGATACCGAACAAGATCCCGTTTTACAAATTTGAAAATTCCAAGCCGTTCCGGAAATATCCGAGAAAAACCGAAATATTGCGATTTCGTTTTTATTATTTTTTAAAGCTATTTGAAAAGATATGAAAAAACGGAAAACACTTTTCCATTGGCACTTTTTAATCTCTCCAAATTGACGTTAACAAATTTTCATTACAGCGTTTCGATTCCATGGAACCACCATCAACTTTGATTTTTCTTATGGGACGGAAAAAAAGTACACACAGTATTAGGTTGTGCTTTTCATTGCGAATTAAACGATGTACGATACAATACGGTTACTTATGTTTTTATCCAGAAAAATGGCTTTTTAATACATTTCTAGTATTTTATTGTAGTAGGCCATGAGATCCGAACGATGAAAGGCAAAAGAAAATGGTTGACAAGTTCGAGTTAATGTGTTTATTTATTTACTAACTCTAACTGTTCATTTAACATAACAACTAAATCCAACAAGTTAATGAAAAACAAATTCTATAACAAATGTTCGAATAAATGACCTCCATTTTCTAGGCATAAGTACGCCCGTCTCACGGTAGACTCCAAAACACGACTTAACATTTCAGGAGTAATTTTATTAAACGCTGCTCGTACTGATTGACGTAATTGTTCCTCGTTGTCAAAACATTCTTTGAATACCTCATTTTTTATGTAGCCCCATAAGAAAAAGTCCAAGGGAGTTAAGTCCGGGGACCTTGGAGGCCAAGGTGTTTCACTGTAAGTCCCAGTGTATTTTCCATCAAACCGTTCAGTTAAATATTGGCGAACTTCTCTGGAGTTATGGGCTGGGGCACCATCTTGTTGGAACCAGCAGCCTTGCACAGCGCCTAGCGGTAAATCATCTAAGGCATCTTCTAAATCGTGCCTCAAGATGTCAAGGTACCGCTCGGAAGTTAAGGAATTATTATAGAAAATAGGGCCTATAATCTTGCTACCAAAAATCCCACACCAAATATTAAACCCAAAGCGAACTTGATGTCTGGATAGTCTATTAACACGTGGATTTTGTTGCGACCAATAG